TAAAAGGGGGCCCCCCTTTGGGGCCCCCTTTTCTTTTGCTGTTTACACGAAACCTTTCTTGTCTCGAATTTGACTTTAGGGTTTTATCTTATTTTATTTTATTTTATTTTATTTGGAGATAAACAAAGAGAGCGTGTTGTTGTTATTTGTATCTTGAGGTGTATAGGCAGCTGATGAGGGTAGAAGAATTCTTTTTGTTTGTTTTTTTAGGGTTTGTCTCTCTATATGTTATATTTAATACTAATGAAGACAGACAGCAATATATATTATATAAACAATAAAAGAAAACAACAAAACAAATTACTTAAAATAATATTTTATAATAATCAATTCAAGGGGGTATAACCACAAAAAACATCTTAAAATATATAAATGAAAATACGTCTAATAAAATATTTAATTTTATAATAATGTATAATAATAATGTATTAAAAATAATTATAATAATAACAACAATAATATTTTTAATAGTAATACTAATAATAGTAACGCTGTTAGTAATAATAATAATCTTAATACTCTACAGTTATAATAAAAATATTAAATAATAATAATAAATATTTAATTATAATATTTATAATATTTAACAATAATAATTATAATATAAGCCAATGCGTTTAATGAGAATATTTTATCAAAATGTATATAAGAGGGAGTGTGCTTAATAAAAATATTTATAATAATATATAAAAGACAGTGTGATTAATAAGAAGATATAGAAGAAAATAATAATATAATATTATTATATTTTTATTAGTTGTTTTATATGTTATCGTTTATAATAATCCATAAAGGGTAATGGGCTTCATAAGAAGATATAGAAGAAAATAATAATATAATATTATTATATTATTAATACTTTTTATATATATTATTATTATGCATATATATATATAATTATAATATATATATATATATATAATTATAATATATATATATATATATATTGAGTAAGGAGGGAGAGGAGACAACAAGAAGAAGCATTTGTTTATTGTTTTTGTTTATCATTCATCTGTCTCTTTTAAAACAAAGACAGGAATAGGCAGAGATGCAGCAGCAGCTGCTTCATGAGGGTCCCCAGCCAAAGGGGTCTCCTGTTGTTGTTGCTGCTGCTGCTGTTGCTGCTGCTGCTGCTGCTGCTGCAGCTCCTGCTGCAGCAGATCCTGCGCTGGCGGGTGGTTTCTCGCTGCTGCAGCAGCTGCAGCAGGAGCCGGCCCCGCAGCAGCAGCAGCAGCAG